CGACCCCAGCATATACATCACCCCGGCCCATCTACCCAAGCCTCGAGACAACTTTGGTGATGACGGACACGTGGCCTTAGGCAAACGAGTCAGGGTTTCCTAAATTTTCCCAAAATAAAATATTTAGGTGGCGACTCTGTATTTGACAAAGCAGTCCATGTTTGGCACTTCTTTCAAAATCTGTTTTCTCAAAACGATTTGCCGGATTTGGACTCTTTGGTTCAGATTTAGAACCGTGACAAATTAAGAGTCCGAACTGTAGTGAGCCCAATATCGAACGGAACGGGGGACTCATCCCTCTCGGGGCGTTCGGGGACGTCTACACACTTCCACAAAAAGGTATAAGCTGAAGCAAAAGGTGTAAATTTGATGAATTTATTTTTTCACAAAAGGTATAAGTGACTTCCGAAAAGCTTTAAGTTGGGCTTCCACAAAAGGTGTAAGTTCGAAGCAAAAGGTATAAATGTTATGCCAAAAATTCTTACACAAAAGGAGTAACTTTTCAAAAATGGTGTAAGTATTTTCACGAAAAGGTGTAAGCTTAAGCAAAATGTGTAAGTTTTCGTTTGTTTACACCTTTGGTAAGTCAACTCACAAAAGGAGTAAGTGTTCATAAAATGAGTAAATGATTTCACAGAAGGCGTAAGTTTTCAGAAAAAGGTGTAACTTTTCAGAAATCAGTTACGCCTTTTTCTGAAATTTCTTACGCCTTTCGTAAAAATATACCTCTTTTGTGAAAACTTATACATTTTTTGTGACCATTTACACCTTTAGTCATATAATATATTATTTTATTAATTTACCTGGAAAAGGTCACCAATGTGTAAGTTTTCAAATATTTTGATATAACTCAATACATACAAATGTGTAAATGCAAAATAGAAGGGTATAAATACCTTACATACCATATGCAAGGCACACTTAGAAAAAGTCTTAAAAGATTAGACTGTGAAATAAAGAAATTTTGAAGACTCTAGTTTTGCTTTTCTTCAAAATGGTGAGATTTGGCTCCTGCCTCTCTGTGTACAAAAAAACTAAAATACAATATTTATTACAGCGGGCCATTTGCAGCCATACAAAATTCTTTTATTGATTGTGTTTGGAAATAATTTTTTTTAATTGTATGAAAAATTTGTGAATAAGTTGTGTATGATTTGTTTTTGCAATAGTTTTTAATTTTTTTTAAAGGGAGATGATAATTCAGAGGAAATTTTAAAAGGAAAATTCAGATTAGTAAGATTTGTAAATTTTGATAATTATTTTTTATGGAGATGTAATTATTTTAGGAAGTTATCATTTGATTATTTGCATTTTTTATATATGATTTTTAACTAAAAAAAAATCATATTGTCAAACCCTATGACATCATGCATGGCAGATACTTCAATGTAAGAGGCTTGTCTGATGTCATAAAATTAATTTGGCTAAATAATTTGCGAAATAAATGAATGCAGTAATAATTAGCGGTACTCATTTCACCAGCCAAATATAATATTATAAAATAATAAAAAATATAAATTTGGCCGTACCTCACAAGGATGACCAACATGTGGTCAAGAGAAAAAACATTTACCTAATTTCTCTATTTAACTTTAAAAAAAATCTATAACAGATCATAATAAGCAAAGCAGTAGAAGAAAAAACAGAGGATTCACGAACCCAAAAAGATCAAACATGATGGTCAAAGATATGTTTGCTCAGCTCGGATCGATAATAGCCAGTGTGATGTTCGTTTGGGCAATATTTAAGCAATACTTTCCTCATGAACTCAGATCCTCCCTAGAGAAACACTTTCAAGGAATGGTGAATTTTGTGTATCCTTTCATTCAAATCACATTCAATGAGTTTACCGGAGAGAGACTCATGCGCAGCGGAGCTTACTCGGCCATCGAGACTTATCTGAGCTCGAAATCCTCCATGCAAGCGAAGCGCTTGAAAGCCGATGTTGTGATGAACAGTAGTCAACCTCTGGCTTTGAGTATGGATGATAATGAGGAGGTTGAAGATGAATTTGAAGGTGTGAAGCTTAAGTGGACTTCTGGGAAGAACATTTCCAAATCACAACCATTTTCGTTTTATCCAGTCAGCGATGAGAAGAGGTATTGTTGAATCAACAATTCATCTGAGCTTAAACATTTAAATAGAGAGTTGAATTAAACAAAAAATTTTATACACGCCTCTGTCTTGTGATTGGTATTTATGAGCTGGTGTAAGTATTTTTAAAGTTGGAAAATATTAAATTCCTTTAATTTTTATAAAGAATTTGTTATTAAAATTAGGGCCATTTAAAAATCTGTTCAAATCAGACCAACCCGTATGGTTTGGTTTGGTTCGGTTCTATTAAGGATTTGTTTGATTTTGGTTTAAGAAATATGAAAACCGTAAAAACGGTTCGATTAATGGATTTTATGAAAAAATCACAATTTCAATCGAACCAAACCGAATTTTAAAAGATATATATAGATATATATATACAATATTAACTTTTATTTTTATTAATTGGTTATTTGTAATTTTAATGATATTAGGATGATATAGGTATGTAGTGTTGAGTAATGCTTTAATATTATTAGTTTTTATCATGAGTTAAATGTAATTAGTTTGAGTAATTATTTTACTAATATTAATAATTTATTCTTGTAAATAAAATTTTTTGGACTCAAACCGAAACCGAACCGTTATTTCGGTTTAATTTTGGTTCGGTTTTACAAGTGTAATGGTCTGGTTTGGTTCTCAAAATCACAGAACCGTTAGGATCAGTTCGATTATTAAATTTTCTCAGAATCGAACCAATCCGGACCGTATACACCCCTAATTAAAATGATTTGAGTGTGAGTCATTTGTAATTTATTTTCATATATAATGATGAAGATTAGGTTTCTTAATGAAGAAACACAATATGTTACATCTTTTGGGTAATAATTTGTAATTTATTTTCATATGCTGTTTTTAAATGAAGAGACAACGTTATTGTTGAAAAATAATAGTTTTTCGGCAATTTTAATTCGAGATTAAAGTGGGATCTAACCATCGATTGATGTGGGTCTTAGTGGTTTTGTATTCTTTAAGTAAGAATATTACAATGTAAGAATAATGAGCTGAAGCCATTAGATTATAAGTATGAATTGTCTCATAAAATGGACATTAATAAAAGTTAGGCTTAGATTTGGTTGGGTCTAGGTTCGTACATATGCTAGGTTTAGTCTTGGACTTGGAATTGGAATTTGACTTAATCTTGAGCTTGGGTTGGGCTATGCTGTGTTGGGTTTAGCTTGTGTATGTGTTTGAGATTGGGCTTGGATGAGGTTGTGACTCAACACCCGTATTCATTTTGTGGCCCATCTAGTTGGTTTATTCAATATCATTATATACATATTTATTTATATATATTAAGCACATGAGAGGTTTAGACTTATAACTCTTATCTTCTGATGATGAGTTGATGGCTATATTAGTGGTCATAGGTTTTCAACCTTTGTAACTCTAATCCTAATGACTAGAGTTGATGAACTTGGTTAATGACATTTGATAGCCTTATTGATGTTAACTTTCATGACTAAGGTTCTCTTCTACTAGTATAAATAGAGGCGCTTTTTCTCCTACTTTGTAGGATAATTTTGGAGGAATTTTTGGTAGAAAATAGAGATAGTGATTTAAGATAAAAATTTAGATATGTTTTTTTTTGCACTAAAGGAAATTTTTCCTATCTTTTTTTGCTAGCCTTCCTTTCTTTGGTTCTTGTTAGAGAGATTACAGTCATTGTCAAGTTCCCTGAAGCTATAGCTGGTTTCGACTATCGTATCCTGAGAGACAGACGCTGACATACCTCCAGCATCTATGACGGTAAATCTGTTCTAAGAAAATTGTGGTATAACACAGGTTTCGATTTGTTTTTTTTCTTATAATTTGTTTTTAAAATTTTCAGAATTTAGTTTACCTCGATGATTTTAATCTTTAATTCTCTATGTTAATAATTTGTTTTATTAGTAATGTAATCTAATTCATTTATGTATTTTTAGTTGTGCATTTTATTTTATATTTCATTCTTTAGTAAAAAAAATTATTTTGTCATTTTTATTTAATTCATTATATATATATTTGTATTTTTATGAAAAAATATCAACACTTATGACATCATTTGGGTAATAATTCTCCTCACTTTTTGTGGAATAAGGGGATGCTGTTATGTCTTAAGGCACAACAGTTACTGTTGTCCTCTTTTGGGAGGTTTTTTGATAATCTGAACCTTTTGTATTGTAAGGTTCATCAAGAATATTATTCCCGTAAAAAATTAAATTAATCGGATATTCATAACCCATGATTAGCTCCCAATTGTTTTTAAAAATTTATGAAAGTTATGTTAATCGTTAATTTTTATAGAAATAAATATGCTTTGATTATAGGGTTACAGGTATCCAATCAACTTGATTTTTTGTATAGATGATCTACTCGACGAATTTTATAATATAAATAGTTCAGATCATCGAAAAACACTAGAAAAACTTTCCCCAAGGAGCACAACTGGCACAGCAGAACCGCCTCTCCGCTTTTTGTGTATCACTCTTTGTTTAATAATTAGGTAGGCGGCCAGATTCAATTATGGGAGGGATTTATCGTCTGCTTTTATCATAACAAATTGTTGACTAATAACAATTCATTTAAAATCTTGACCTGCTTGATAGAGGGATAACTTTATTTTGGACTTTTGATTTATAAATAATTTTTTTTTTTGTATAAAAAAACACTTGTACAATGTTGTGTTAATAGTATTTTTTGTACAATACTGAATGTTTGGATTTAAAATAGAAGGATCACAAAAAACACATCATTATCTAGAAAAATTACTTATATATACCAGTACTCTTTATTTATTTATATTGTTTGGTTGATAGAAAATGATTTACCTATGATTTACCTATGGTATCATGCAAGCAATACCCCAGAATTAATGAATAATAAATTTTTTGTTGTGGGTCTAAACAGGTATTACAAGCTCACTTTCCATAAAAAGCACAGGGATGTGATCATAGGGCCATACCTAAACCATGTCCTGAAAGAGGGAAAAGCAATCAGAGTAAGAAACAGGCAGCGAAAGCTTTACACCAACAATGGATCCCACTGGAGCCACGTAGTGTTCGAACACCCTGCGACGTTTCAGACACTGGCAATGGATGCAGAGAAGAAGAAAGAGATAATCGATGACTTGATCACATTCAGCAAAGCAGAACAATTCTATGCAAAAGTTGGGAGGGCCTGGAAGCGCGGTTATCTCCTACACGGCCCTCCAGGGACTGGCAAGTCCACGATGATCGCTGCCATGGCAAATCTGCTTGGTTATGATCTTTATGATTTGGAATTAACGGCTGTGAAAGATAATACTGAGCTGAGGAAATTATTGATTGAGACGTCGAGTAAATCGATTATTGTGATTGAGGACATTGATTGTTCGGGTGATCTTACTGGGCAGAGGAAGAAGAAGAAGGAGAAGGAGGAGGAAGATAAAGAGAAGGATGCATTGAAGAAACTAGCAGGGAAAGAAGAAACTGAGACTAAAACCAGCAAGGTATTGTTGGAATTACTACAATAAAATTGCACAAATTGAATATATATATATATATATATATATTTGAACAAACAATTGAATAGAAAACAGTAAAATAACACACTAAATTGTTAATAGAAAATCTAGTTTGTGACTGACTCAGAGAAGCGGCCGAGCCAAGGTTCTAGTTGAGGTGGGTTACAAAGTTTAGTTTGGCAACAAAAAAAATAAAAAATAAAATTATTATCGATAATTCAAAACTATTTCAATATTGTACATAACACTACAATTAAACTATCTTAATATTCAAATTTATAGAACTCTCAACAAATATAAAATAAAAAAAAAAATTATTAATTAAATACACAAAATAAAGATCAAGGAGTCAACCTGGTGGTTGAGTCATTCTCTTACTTGGAGTGAAGTCTGGATCCGAATCTTCAAACGTAATTTCCCTCCCCATATTCCTCTTCATTCTCTTGAAAAAAAAACACACATAATAGAACTAAATGTGCTTTTAAATTTATTTGTGATTGTGTGTTGAGTTTAGTTTTTTTGAAGAATGAATGGAAAAGTTAAATATATTTTTTTAACCTCAACTTAAAATGTAGTTTCTTCGAAGTGGCTTTGTCAGTGACTAAAACCATTGTTCCTCCTTCACATGAGGTATAGACAGATTGCAATAGGTATAAAATTCAACCCATGTGCTCACTGGCGTTTTTAGTCTAATGTTTGCTTCCATCAAGAGAAAATGAACAAATCAAATGGCCAAAAATAATATAAAGTGGTCAAAAGATATAAACATTTTATTCTTATTAAAATTCTGTAACAGGTAACTCTTTCCGGGCTTCTGAATTTCATTGACGGGCTTTGGTCGGCTTGTGGGGGAGAGAGACTGATAGTTTTTACGACCAACTACATGGAAAAACTCGATCCTGCGCTGATTCGGAGAGGGCGAATGGACAAGCATATTGAATTGTCCTACTGTGGATTGGAGGCGTTTAAGGTTCTAGCAAGGAACTATCTTGATGTTGAATCACACTATTTGTTTCAAGAAATTGAGGCTATGTTGGAGGAGACAAATATGACTCCTGCAGATGTTGCAGAAAATTTAATGCCCAAGACTGTTCCTGCTAATGCTGAAACTTGCTTGAAGAGTCTGATCAAAGCTCTTGAGAAAGTGAAAGAGGATGCGAAAAACAAAGAATTGGTAGTTGAAGAAGTGACAGATGATAAAGAGAAGGAAAAATCAGATGAAAAAGAAAGTGAAGTAAAAGAAACAACTAACTGAAGAAGCAAATGAGAACAGTAGCAGCTTCCAATCTATACTAAACTTAACACTCTTTTTGTCTTGTGCTTTGTGTTGTATCTTATTTGAAAGGACAAGTTGATAATTTCACAACATATAAAATAAAGTTACAGGATTTTATCTTGATAGTATTTTGAAGAAATTGCAAATCAGTGGACAGTGGAAAAATAATTGCACTATAGATAAAAAAATTTCTTGTGCAATTCTGACATACAAAAAGAAGTTGCACCAGACACAAGAAGGACTTGATATTTGCATCACCATGAAAATTAAATATATTTTTGCTATCCCACTGCTTTATAATTTTTCCTAGTATTTTTATCCGAAAAGTAGACTGTAGGTTGTAATTGAAGTTCATGTATTATGAACCATACTTTGATAAACTTTTGGTCACACATTTCAAATTTTAGGTAAAATTCTAGTTAGTTTTTATGAACTTCTCCAATGTTGGTCATATTCAGATGGAAATATGACAAAAAAAATTTCCAAAAATTCTACAGATCCAAATGGATTTAAATATTTAATGGTCGGCCCAAAGTCGATAGACTGAGTTTGTTGGGCTCAAATGAATCTTGATGAGGCCCATTCTCTCTGCATCAGGTACGGGCTAGGCCCTTTCCCAAAACAACAATATGATAGAGAGTTCTAAATTTTGAACTCTAAAGAGAGTTCTAGTAATGTAGTAAAGATAAAAATAACAAAGGATAAATTACAGATACATCCCCTGAGGTTTGCTTAAAGTACAAATTATCCCTTGCGGTTTGAAAAATTACAAATATCCCCTTGTTAAACAATTTTATTTAACAGAATTAATTACAAAAAATAAAATTCATAATTGCTTTCCTATACAATAATAAAATTACCTAAATTGTTAATCGAAACATATTTCTAATATCATTAAAAACTGTTAATTGATTTGATGATTCATTAATAAAAAGGACGATTTGTTATGAAATTACAAACCTTAGGGGGTGGAATGTAATTTTTGAAACTACAAGAGACAATTTGTATTTTAATCAAATTTCAAAGAATGTATTTATAATTTATTCAAAAAAAATCAAAACATCACATCAATAGAGTAGGACCCACCTCTAGAACTCCTTTAAAGCTCAAGTATTAAAGCTCTAAAACATTTTTGTTTTCCAAATCACGGTCCAGGCCTCAAGCCTATTCTGGGATTTTCTAGGCTATTCGGTATTGTTTTTTTCAAAAAATTGGGCTGAACCAATAGCCCGACCCAACCTTCATAGATGTAGGCCCAAACACTAGCCGAGTCTCCAGGCCTGCGATGGCCTAGGCCGACCCATTAGGGATATACACGTTGACAACATTCTTTCTAATTATCATGACAATGATCAAATAATTTACATTCACTTCATTTGAAGTTGAAAAAAAATACCTTAACAAGTTTCACATGTTTAATGTTATTACACTGGTCACTCTTTTAATAAAGTTAAAAAAATTAAAATTAATATAAATAGAATGAAAATAATGATATTTTTTTACAATCATACGACTAATAAATTTTTGATGAAAACATAAAAAAAATTATACAAAATAAACTTTAAAAGGATCCAGTATAATTATATTAAATTTATAAAATTTATTGTATTTTCCTAAGTATCAAAGTGGTCACTATAATTTATCCTAATTATTAGGACGCGTTTCTCGTGTGAAAAAGTTAGTCTCTTTTTTTTTTCCCTAGTGTGTGTGAAAATGTTCTTGAAAATGTGGGCTCCGTTTGGTGGAACTCTCAAACTTTAGTTTTACTTTTTATTTTCACCGTGATGTTTGTTCATAGTTTTTAAAACTTAATTAGTGTGTTTGGTTTAAATTTTTTGAATTAAGTTTTTTTGTTTTTAGTGAATATTTTTAAAATTTTTAACATTTTTTTTTTATTTTTTTAGATGCACCTTACTTAGATGTATCTAAAAAGTAAAAAATTTGTGAAAAAATATTTTTAAAAATTAATAAATACATAAAAATACAAAAAATGTACTGAATTCTCGTATTTTTTTTTTGTATTTTTGGTATTTAGTGGATTTTTAAAAGATTTTTTTCAATTTTTTTTTTTACTTTTTAGGTATATTTATGTTAGGTATGTCTAAAAATTAAAAAAAATTGCTCAAAATATTAAAAAAATTCAGTAAAAACAAAAAAACATGAAAAATAAAAAAGTAGAATTTTCTAAAAAGTGTTTTTGAAAAATGATAACCAAGCATGCTGCTACACTCATTTTTGAAAAATCTGTCGAAGGCGGAAAAATTTGAATTAACCAGTCGTCTCCTCAGACGTCCAGTCGGTTGTCCCCAGAAATCCGACTGATTCACTGGAATAGTCAACATTTTTATTTTTTTATAACAAGTGCCACCTTTTATTTTTTATATTTTAAATAAAAAAAATTTGGGATTTTTTAAATTTTTTTATGAATTTTGAATAGAATTTTGAGTTGTGTATTTGGTTATGACTTGTAAATTTTTATGTCAAATATCATATGTCACATCAAATTTTCTACTCAATTTAAAATTCTTTTCAAAACTCATCTACCAAACAAATTTTTCACACTCAAATCATAATTCTAAAACTTACAAACTCAAAATACAATTCTATTTTCAAATCATATTTAGAAAACTCTACCAAACGCTACCTGTTTTTCTTCACATGCATTGTTACGCACTTCGCCAGTACGATATCTAACACCCTTAAGATTTGGTCTAACTACATTATACTTTTTGATGTTTTAAAAATTACATTATCATTCTTATAGTTAATAGTCTCCTTTCATAACTTTTTACTGGTTTAAAAGTAACAACTTTTAATAAAAAAATAAATAAAATTACATTGAAAAGAAAAAGTAAAGAACGGAAAGGGAAAAAAATAGAGGAAATAGAGTAAAGTAAGAAAAGAGAGAATATATGAGTGCAATGTTTTCATTACGTTTAAATAATTATAATGACAGGAAATTAGTATAATTTTTTAAATGTTAAGAAATAATATGTATTAAATCTAAACTTTAGAGGTGTAAGCGTAATTTATTCAAAAGTGAATAAATACTGTGAGTTCTTCTTTTGGACTGCTAGCAAAGTGGATGTGTAAAAGCATAAATCTCTCTCTCTCTCTCTCTCTCTCTCTCTCCATGTTTGTGTGTGAACGGGGAACTAATCGCGACTTGCAAGGTGGGACAAACAAGCGTGGTTGTTTTGTAAATTTCTATGCTCATTATTCTATTTAGGCCTCGTTGGGGCATATTTTTAAATTTTTTTTTTGATTTTTTGAATAAAATATAATGTGAAAAAAACTAATATGTTTATGATGAATTTTTAATTTTTTACAAAAAAAGATGTGTAAAAAGTAAAGAAAAAAGATAATTTTTAACTTTTTAGTATAAGTTGTTGGTTTTTTAAAATTTTTTGCGATTTTTTGACTTTTAAATTAAAAAATAATGATGTCAAACGAGACCTTAAAACAACCTTAATATTGCATTTACTTTGACTTGTTTTGGGTTTTTCTTTTATTATTTTGTTACCTCTTTCTAATCCTTAAAGTTTCTCATGGGTCTTTAGTGTGCATCTTGTTTAATGCTTTGATCAATTCACATTGGAGAGAGAGAGATTACTAATAGCCATGGTATAGTGTTACATGTAAATCTCAAACTACTAATATTATAGTATTATGATTCATAGTAGAAATATTAGAATTCTACAATTTAAATTCTTATATATACCAACAATAATTTTATATAGTTGAATTTGTGATAAATCAAAAGTTACACTTATTAGTGTATCGTGTCATTGTGGGTTAACCTAGGCGATATTTTTTTAAGAGTCTCAAACATTCTTCGTTATTGTAGTACGGACTTTGTTTTATTTATATTTGATATTTTAATTTTATCAATTGATCATCAACTTATCCAATTTGTACATAAATAGTATTCATTGCTATTTTTGTCACAATTTTGTCCACTTTTGTACAAAAATATTATAAATTTGTATGAAAACTATGAATGGATCATTTAAATAAAAATGAAATAAGACAACGACAAAATTGGCATAATTAAACTATCATCAGTTTGGCCTTCGCCCAATGGGCATATGGGAGAATCCATAGACATTTTGTCTCACAACTTTAGGCTCTAATATAGTATAAAGTATTTGAAGGGGTACTAGGCTTGTAGCCTATTTCCTTTTCTTTTATTTTTCATGCATTTTTTAAAGTCTACTTGTCAAATAGTGAAGTACCTAAATCCTATTACAAGGATACCTGGATAATGAACCAGATCACTTGCGCTTTAACCGTACCCCAACTTTGGGTTGTACTAAGCTTTCACTTGTAAACATTTGTGCATTGTAATAACTTCTTAGACGGTATGAAATGCTTTGTTTTGACGCTGTTGACATACAAATTTGTTACTTAGTTGGTTTCATGTTTGTCGGTTGGCTAATGCTACAAACAGTCGTTGGTTCTTCCACAAAGTCAGTATTAATTCACAAAGCACCCAGCTGGACTATAAATACTATCTTCATTATTATTATTATTATTTTTTCCTCTTGACCAAGAACTAACCATCAGAAGAATAAAAAGACTGAAAGCAAATTAGGTCATTAATTTCTCTCATTCTCACCACTTGGATGCAGCTCAATGGTAAGACATAGAATCTTCTGTTCTTAATTTTTTTTTTTAAAAAAAAAAAAAAATTCATATTTGATAATATTTTTCTTTAGGTTATGGTACTTTAACATATTCAATAATTTAGTGATTTTCGTGAGTGTTTTGAAATAAAAGTACAAGATATTTACTAACTTGATTTTTTTGGGGTACTTACGGTGTAACATTTGGGTACTTTTTTGAGAAAAATTATTAGATAATCTCATAATATTATGAGATATTATCTACGTTTTATTCTTAATCAATGAGAAATCACAACACACTCTAAAGTAAGTCATTCTTTAACTTCTTGGAGAGGATCAAAGTCTAATCACTATAAAAAATTAAGATTTTAGAGACTAAAATTTAGGGACTAAATTATTTTTAGGGACCAAATAATTTGTTGCGAAAAGTGTTTGCTATTATATTTTTAAAAACAAAAATTGGACATTAGTGATAAATTATTATTCTTTTAGGACCAAAATTT